ACGAATGTTATCAAATAACTGTGAGATTTGTCTGAATGCGAGTTGAAGCAAGAACAATTTTTCCGGTAGTAATATATCATTTGATTTGTGTGAGGGTCGTGATACTATCCGGGTGCTCAAGTCAAAGTAGGTGTTCTTCTTAGGGGTCACACCTGGAGCCTTCGACCTGAAGGCCTAATACACAATGTAGTGAGACAACGTTAGGAGATGAAGTCCCATGGTAGCCGGTGACAACAGTAGGTTCATACACCATTTGTCCCCTCAGGATTCTGTAGTCCATATGCACCATTGGTTTGGAATAAGAGTTTTCCAACTACCCAAGGTGGATCCTCCATATCCACCAACACAGTTAAGGCTCCGGACATTCACTTTTGGTTCTCTTAATTTCGTAAAAAACACCCCGGCCTCGCAAACGCAGTGAGTGGGTCTTTCCAGATAGTGGTTTTGTGCATGAAGCCATGTGAGAGCTTTATGAGAGGGAGAGCTGGCTCTCCCCACCCTCGACCGTACCAATGCATTTAGGGGCTATATCTCGATATTTGTAATTCATCTATTGCAAATTATCATACGTATTGAAACAGTTCTAATTACTAAACATCGGATGTTTACAAATCTTAAATGAATATAGACGAGTGGTTCTTAACATGTTTTCATCCACATTTTAAGTGTTTTTTAGGTTGACAAATGCGTTTTACACTTTTTTACTGCTACATATCAAGTAATCTTATGATTCCTATTTTATTTATGCATTAAATATTTACGTGGTTAGCAGATTATTGATTTCGAAATTCAATAAACGTCCCTTTTTAATGTTTGATATTGTGCTGGATTTTTCATTTCATAACACGTCAAATCAACCAACTGAAATCAGGTCAATGAAAATATGCTTAATATCGTACAGTCGAACATTAAACTACACATTGTTATTCTTAAACTTGAAGGAAAGTAGTTCGACCGGAACTCCTATTTAATTCAGCTAAGTGTTGGTGATAAATTCAATTTCCTAGTCATCGTCATAATGAGTCCCAACAAAAACTAGTTTCTGAGTCAAATAACAATTAGACTTGCTATGATAAAACATACAGACCATGAAGAATGGGAGTTCTATTTAAAGTGGAACAAAATCTGAGTGGTAATGAGAAAACGGTTTGAATTTTTAAACAAATATTTATAGTACAGGTTGTTCACATTCTCCATTAACTAGATTATCACAGCTTATACGGAAGCTAACACTAGCCGGATGAACAAATCGAAAATGATTTGCTTAGGCGACTAAACATTTGAAGAATTGACCTAAGGGGTTAGTTCACACAGTAGTGGAGCCACGTTAAGAGATCCATTTCAATGGGAGCTGATGACCAGAAAGGTAAATTACATGTTTGTGTGCAATAGTACCTTAAAACACAGACTTTTTCTGATCTTACAGGCGACATCACGAATCCACAGGTCCAACGGAAATCCCAAACCAAAGCGTTCTCTCAAACCTTTGTGCTGAAATATTAACGCATGAATAATAAAACTTAGCTGAGATAGGATACAAATCCCAGGTTGTGTGAAAACATTCTGAAAGGGTAATTGGAATTTATTCATTCTTAGCTTTACCAGGGTATTCGAAACCTAGAACTGGGAGTTGAGTTAAAAGTTTTTTTTCACTTGACGTGATGCTAGTTTCTTAACCATGAAAAAATCTTGATCTGTTATAATGGAAGTAAAATATGATTCATCACTGAGTGTAGACAAACAAGCACATCCTACTGACTATTAAATATGTGATTTACTTTCTTTGTTATTGATTTTTACACCGGACTCATTAAGAATGACTACTTGTAATTGTGTTGAATGAAGTATTATCTAGTCGATATTTTTGTTCTTTATTATGGGTCGTGAACTCTGAATTTCATATAATGTGACTAGTCTTATTATCGTAATATACCTAAGGGAGAAAAATATTTTGAATTATCCGTTACATTAAATCTATGTCCTCAGGTTTGAAAAGAATATATATATTGGTGAAATACAACTTACTGGAAACAATGGATAAGTTAAAAGCTCAGAATCTTAGTCATTCTTCATCTAAATAATTCCTCCACGTACAATCAGAGGCGCTAAGTACTTTTTTAGTCTTTTTACACGGACAATGAAAATCATCACAACAAATGTACATAAACAAATCCCCAAGTATACCTGATAAGCATTAATCATAAAACCTAAATACTATCCATGGCTTTATTAATAATTATTTATACAGTCTACCCTGAATTTCACAAACTGTTCAAAGTACAAAAACATTGCACATACGACTACAAACCTTATATAACAGATCCAAATAATGAGAAAGTAGTGTCAAAAAGAAAAAACATAATTATGAATCACATCATTTTAGATACGTTATGATTAAAACCTCCTCAAAAACAATAAATCAAAGATCAATAGGAAGATTTATCCTTAAATAAGTAATGAAGCATAGGTAACGGACAGTTATTCTTCAAATAAATATAATCTGAAGTAAAAGCGAACATAAACAACTCTTAACACACAAACATATGCTACCACGTAGTTGAATTGCGGACGTCCATTACCTTGAGATCGTGCCACATCGGATAGATGTCCCACCATAGTCTTAACTTTTTCTCAGCATGCAGACAACAATTGAGCATCAAACTTTTAGGTTTTGTGATAACAGAATTACAAAATCAGAACCCAACAACTGACACTCCAACTCTGATCACATCGTGAGCTCTTTTATAATCTGCGTATGAAATAAAAGAGCCAGGTATTAACGCTAACACAAATAAGGATCTAGTACAACCGTTAGATACCGGAAAATCTACTGCATAGGGACAGTTAAGTGATATCCAACAGCCTAAGAACAACGATAAGAACTGATCTTAGCAGAAGGCACTCGTTGTCTTAAAAACAGACAATTAAGCCGAAAACTAGTAAATAAACACTGTCCTGATGAATTTGGAGCATATGCGTTTGTTTGGAGAAATGGTTAGGCCTAAACAATTAGTTGTGAAAACAAAACAGCCAGGGCGCTAATTCGATAGAAAAATAATAATAATTTAGATCGACAAGTGGTTGGGACATTAATACTTTCCTGAGCATTGAATTCTAGATTGAACAGAATTAATATTCAGCATGGCACTATTGTAACATAATACGAACTATTGGATTCTTTGATTCCTGGTCCAAGTTGACGAGATTCTAGTTACAATAGTATAAAGTTGGTGATTGCCCCCAAATGCCCTGGTACGACAGAGGGTGGAGAGAGTCAGCTCTCCCTCTCCGAATGCTCTCACATGGCCACGTGCATACATCCACTATCAGGAAATTCCAACTAACTGTCTTCTCTCACCAGGGTGTTGTATGAGAAACTGAGAGGACCAAAAGCGAATGTCCGGCGCCTTAATTGGGTTAGTGGACATGGAGAGTTCACCTAGTGGAGTTGGAAAACCCTGATTCTAAAGTAATGGTGCACGTGGGTTCCAGTATCCTGAAGGAACAAACGGCGTGTGAACCTATTGTTTGTCACCGGTTACCGTGACGTTGCTCTACTACTTTGTGGATCAGACCTTTAGGTCGGCGGCTCCGGGTGTGGCCCCCTAAGAAAATCACCTGCTTCGGTTTGGGCACTCAAACAGTATCCCAGCCCTCACACAAATCGAATGATTTATGTGGCGCATATCTATTTGGTGCCTCCTTGTACCAATGTTCATGTGTTTAAATAAATAAACATTATATCGTATTAGCTAAGGTTGTCGATGGCATAGATATTTTCCCATAAATCGTCGGTACTTTGTCATTCAACAAGATTTATTCCGCTTTTTCAACAACATACCAACGATTTTTGTTGAATATCCTGAATATGGAAAGTGATATTCCAGACCACATGACGTTTGTTTTCTATTAAATGTGGTAGTCACATGGTGTACAAACAACTTGTAAGTTATCTGTCTAGATATTAATGGCTCAAGTTTTCTAACATTTTTTTTCAAAATACACTGACACGAACAGTTGGTTAACATCTTTAGTATTGTCTTATAAAATGCTTGTAATTTATAATTACGCGCAGAAACTTACACGTTTTTAGCGAGTTTCAGTTCGATTGTTGATAATAATACAAAAGAAATAAACAAACTGAATTTCTTTATTATTTTACAATCGTAATGATTTTTTGGTATGCACAGAATTTGACTAAGTAAAACATGTTTTAATGATTCATGAAACGTATTTGTATTATTCATAAATGAGATTGTATACACACTGAATAAATAAGGAATATAATGAACTCATCAATATCTTTTAACCAAGGCAGATAAAATTTCAAAGCAAACAATCATATATGTGCGAAATGCAACAATTACAAAAAGCAAACACCAAACTTAACGAAAGGAATGAGATAATACCTATCTGTGTATATATAAGTATTGTCAGATGTACAAGAATGTGTATAAATGCGGTGCTTCAGTTTATGGTAGGAAAAAGTGAATAAGGCACAGATGAAGGCTTGTGTGTGTGTATAAACAAAATGAGACAAAAACAGTAAGAGTGACTGGCAAGAAGATTAGATAGTAAACTCTTAAAGAGAATATAGAAATAAATAAAGGGACGTCTAAAAACAATAAAAAAACGAAATTATTCACAGAAATAATACATCTTCGTACAACTCTATAAGATAATAGTGTTTACAAATTAAGGATCAGGTGAGTGTGTAAACATACGTGAAAAACGTAGACTGGCATGATTATTAGACAAAGCAGGGAAAAAATAAATCAGAAAAATAAACAAATATGCATGTTGTCAGCAGTTGGTAGTTAAAGTGAATAAGGATATCAAATGCAAGTAAGTATAATCCTATGAATAAGGTTATCACAATGGTTAAGTAATACGAGGATAAGACAATAAAGTACTCTAAAGAATAGTAATGGTTTAAAAGTACTAATTGGACCTGCTACAAAACATATATATATATATATATATATATATATATATATATATATATATATATATATATATATATGTCGTACCCGCCCAGTAAGTAACTTGATGTTTTGATAAATATATAATGAAATTATAGAAATCATGAAACTTGTACTAACTGAACAGTTGCTGATACACAAGGGAACGTTTTTTAAAGTTTAAAAGTCACACAATGTAAACGAAAGTAGAAAATGAAGTGTTCTATAAAAAGTAGGTACACTAGATGAAGGAATAATCGAACCAAAAACAGTGCTTTACATATACTGAATACAGATAGGGGTAACGGGAACAGCAGAAGCGTAAAAGAAAGAATGAAGTCATTTTGTAAATCTGGATAAACTTTTCAAACATCTAGAAATCATGAAGATGATATCTCTCTTTTATACTAGTTATATTGTTAAATAAATAACAAAGGTTTCCCTGGTTTGCCGACATCTGCTCGGAATAATGTATCAGTTGTGTATTTCTTGTTCAGCTTTACCTTCTTTTTATCCAATGATACATAAGTAACAAACCTGATAAATAAAATTGAACCATTTAACAATATTACTAAACTTATAATTATACAAAAAAATGACGCAGATCAACACTTCATTAAGATTAGTTAAGGAAAGGTGACATTCAGCGCTTTAACTACAGTATGTATACATACATACATGAATACTATGAGATTTATTGAAAGACATGAAGAGCACCTATTGAACTCGAACCATCACATAACATCGCGTACAAACCATTCTAAAAAAACTTTTGGTATATTATGATTTGGTTGAATTCTTTAGAAAATTACGATACCGTAAAATGATATAAGGAAAACGAGACAACATGAAGCTTTGGAAAAATAATAAACCGAAAGTGCACTAGAAAATAAAGAGGATCACAAAGCTGTGACCAAAAATCTGTAATCTGCACATATCCTCTATTTTCCAAAAATATACATTATTTCTTACTTTAAGTATTTGGAGTCTAACTAGTGAATCACATGTTATATCTATTAGGTCTTCGGCAATCACATAGTACTATTAGCCCTCATGTAGTAGAAATGGTTCATTTTCTGTGTATTCGTGAATATGTTTACTTAAAACACAACTGTAACCAATGTTGACTAATGCTGGGTAACGTAATCCACAAACAATTTTCACCGTCCCATCGAGTTATAAACAAGATGACTAATGAATATTGATATCATTCAGACTCATTGTGAGTCAATATGTTGACTGGCGAAAGCCAATGACAGATAGTTAAGCAGACATTACCACTGTCTCATTAGATTACTATTTATTTGAGACATATTAAAGGATGACATCTACCGAATCCGCACAGACAAACCATCGCAATTGGTGAAAACATTAGATTTAAACATCTAACATTTCACTAATTTAAATATTCCCACAAGATATTGTTAAAAAGAAAAGGATATCTAAGCGAATAACTATTTCCAATAAGTTTTTCTCCAGATGGCAAAATTATAAATTCATGAGGATTGTGTTACAATAAACAATATATTAAGGTATACATATAATAGGATTCAAAATGCTCACCTAAGCAAAACCATGACATATTAGCAACTGCGACTAATGGATCTAAAGCAATTATTGCTCTGCAAATACTACGTAATGCACTCTTGAAAGCAAAGAATGCGAGACGAGTGTGACGACTAAATTCATCTTTTGGTGGATTTTCCCCTGTAGGACATTCACTTGTCGATGAATAGGTGGCTCCAGAGCTTTGCTTATAAGATTGAGAATGGTCATGGACGTTTTGTGAATGATATGGAAAAGTCAATGAACTTGGAGTAGCAGTAATATAATTAATCTTCAATCGCTCATGAAGTAATTTTGACAATAACCATAATTTACAATCATATGGAAGGAACGGTAGTAAAATTCCGAATAGACAAACAATCAAACTTAAAATAAATAAAGAATTATAAAGTAGATTATTGAACAAGATGATGCTTGTTCTGGCGTTTTCTGATTGACTATCACTGGTACTACGACAGACTGTTAACATACCTACAAAAAAAAGATCAAAACAATAACGTTACTTCATGTACGAGAGTAAATGATAAGATACTAACAGGGTTACTTCAGACAGGACATTTCCTTAGAGGTAGCATAAAACGGGAGGCGAAAACTAAATACAAAGTACAATAAAATTAGCTGATTTCAATGGGATGGAATGAACAAATGAGAATCATTAGTTCAAACAGGTTTAGAGCCACGACCAGAAAAAGAATAATATTAACATTTACGCAAACATTATAAAACTCTACTCTACTATGATTATCGATGTAACGAAAGGTACCTATTGTGTCATTGAAGATACACACTGATTTGGCCCAGAGCAAGGGATTATTCTTCACACAACTTCTAGTTATAGGCCCACTAGAAAAGATAATCCGAAGTTAAGCTGAATAGAACGTTTTCCTAAGAGATCTTGGAAGTCTGTTTTTTCCGCTGAAGTGTCTCCTTTAAACAGAATGTTCATTAAGAGTCTTTTTTGGTGCAATGGATACTCACGTTGTTTCGGCTTCAGATTTTTCTCAGTGAATCAAGGTGGATATCCATTGTTGCCCAGTATCTACTGTAGTCTATCAAGTTCTGTAGTGATTATATTTACGTACATATGCGTATAACCCTCAAACAGAGAGAATGAATCAGGTTTCTCTTTTGCTTCAGTGGGACTTACCTTTGAGAATTTGTGTACTGACCACACCATATTGGCTTTCTACATATCGATCTTTGTAGGGAACAGTCAGGTCGCCTTACCAAGACATCTAAAAAGCAGAATTCCGAATCCGACTCTGATTTCATCATGAACTTAACTGATTTATGAGAGTTGTTGAACGCCTACAGGATATCGTTGACGTTGGTATTTTTGTCGAAAATAATGAGTGTCATCTAAGTATCTTTTGTAGAGGCAGCTGTCAATTATTGGTCTAAGTATGCTTCCGAGATTAGCAATGAAAAAGTCAGATAGAAGTGAGCTAAGTGTTGAATTCATCGCTAAACTGTTAGTTTGTCCATAGAACTCATTGTTAAACATAAATTAAACGTTGGGAGTGCGTCAAAAAATTTATTTCCTTCAAGTAGTGAGTTGAAATATCAATATTGAGTTTGTTGTTTTCAGTATAATCACATAGCAGGCGGATTGTTTCCGTTTTATTATTTTATTTTATTTTAACACATAGGTATTGGTACAAGGAGGCACCAAATACATATGCGCCACACAAATCTCAATTGATTTGTGTGAGGGCTGTGATATTGCCCGGGTGCCCAAACAGAAGCAGGTGGTTTTCTTAGGGGGCCACAGCCCGAGCCTTCGACCTGAACGTCTGACCCACAAGGCAGTGGAGCATAGTAAGGAGATGCAGTTCCATGGTAGCCGGTGACCAACGATTGGTTCATACGCCATTTGTTCCTTCAGGATACTGGAGCCCATATGCACCATTGGTTTGGGATCCCGTTAAAGCGCCGGAAATTCGCTTTTCGTCCTCTCATTTTCGTAAACAACAACCCCGCCACGTCATCTATTCACTCTCTTTTATTTCCACTCTGTCCATCCTTATTTTTCAACTTATACAACAGCTCGCCTATGGTGGGAATTCGGCTCTATCTAAACGCTCTCGAGTCACTGCCTGGTTGGAAATTGAATGTTACCACCGAATACGAGTACTGAAGCAGTCTTTCTGAAACCACGTGCACCATTCAAACTGGCTTCCTTTAACGTTCGCACACTTATGCAGGTCGGACAACAGATAGGGCTGGCTATGTCTTTGGAAAGTCTTAAAATTGACGTTTGTTGTCTATCTGAGACCCGTATTCAAGACTCTGGTGAAGTACTACAAGTTCGCTCTCCATCTGTCGCTTCAAAAAGCTTGTTTTATGTGCGTTTATCCAGGGACACTGTGGCATCTTCGTCTGGTCTTGCTGGCGTTGGTGTCGCACTAAGCGCTAGAGCTGAGGCAGCACTAATCGACTGGATCCCCATTAACAGTCGGTTATGTGCTGTTAGACCACAAAGTTCCATCAAAGTGAGAAGAGATCGGCGTGAGAAACGATGTCTTTTCGTCATCTCCGCCCATGCCCCGACAGATTGCAGCCCGGATGCAATCAAGGACGAATTCTACCACCAGTTAACTGTTCTCCAGAAAGTGCGTTCGACAGATACTGTAGTACTAGCCGGAGACTTGAATGCTCAGGTCGGGCGTCTAGGCACAGAAGAGTCGTTTAGGTGGCCGATGGGGACTCGTTGGTCGCAGGACAGATAACGGGGAACGTCTACTGCAACTATGCACAGACCACAACCTGTTTCTGGCTAGCACTAACTTTCGGCACAGTCATCGCCGAAGTGCCACCTGGCGCCCTCCCTCTGCATCTCAAGCCTGGACTCAGATCGATCACATCGCGATCAGCTACCGCTGGCGTGGTTGTGTACAAGACTGCGCTCCTTTTGGAGTACCTATCTGGGATCTGATCATGCTCTGGTCTGCGCCAATCTTACCTTACTTTTCAGTGGACAACTAAGTGACCTCCACCAAAGGATTGACGTTAGCAAACTGGTTGCAACTTCTGTTGCTAGTAAGTATCGAACCGAGCTAGCTTCTAGGCTAGCTACCATTCCACCGAAAAGTATAGATGAGCATTGGTTGCAATTGCATGACGATATGAAAATGGCGGGTACAGTCTGTTGTGGGTTCGCGAAACGTCCCGCTTATAAGCACTAGGTTTCTTCTGGTTCCTTACAACTCATTGAAGCCCGTCGGTCTACCCCGGGTGACCGTGAGTTGGTCCTTCACGACTCCCTGGCTGGGGTCCGAGAGACGGTGTAACACAGTGGCTAGAGACGTTATCAGATATGGCTCAGAATATAAGCCAGTGGCGATCGTGCTGTAACCTTCTTTTACTTTCTTCATAAAAAGTGGTTGCCTCTTCCTTAACTGAAAGATTTCTTCTGGTCGTACCTTTCCGTTTCCCCCATTATTGTCCTCTCTCTTTTTTTCTCCTTTCTCTTCAAATTATCATTGTTTTGTGTGACGCATATATATTCGGTGCTCCCTTGTACCAATATTTATGTGTTCAAATAAATAATAATAAATAAATGAGCGGACTCTCCCCACTCTCGGCCGTACCAGGGCATTTGGGGGCATTGTTTCCGTTAGAAAGATATCTAGAGACGTCATCTTTCCGGTTAGGTTGACACAATATTGAATTAGCAAAATCAAACGAATCAGTAATTGTGTATCTATTGCGTTGATTTCCAACCGGACGTAGAATTTCAGTTAGCCATTTAGCGATGGCATGATATGGAGAGTTATTCATATCTGTATGGAACGTAGAGGGGTATCGTTCTTATTTATATATATGAAATAATGGATCCAGCTAGTCTGTTTTTCAAAGAGATATTTCATTTTCTTAAGAATTTTAGTTGATCTTCGCTCACTTTGATCTGTAGCATCTTTTCCTTTAGGGAATTTGTTTGACTCATTATGACAATGCTAGAACGTTTACCTGGGCGATTTAACGCCATATCCTCGTTTCTCAATAGATTTAATAGTTGGAATTTATTTTTTAGGAAGTAGTTTACTTGTTGGCCTTGTGTTGGTATATTGGTTAGGACAATTCACAACGTTTTTTCAAGTTATCCAACTTCTTTGTTGTATACAGGGATAAGGTCTTTTGTCTGATGGATCAGGCTTTCAAAATGAGTTTTTGTGCTAAGCTCATTGACATTTGTAGAAACATCACAGAATTTGTACGTAGCAACAATGCTTGATTGAATTATTGATAAGTTGATATTAAAGCACTTAACGACGTATTTCTCAGGTATTTCTAGAAAGGAAGCGTACACCTCCATTAGTTTTAGACTTCTCATGAACTTCACATATGTCAACAATATTTTTAAAATGCCTGTTAGACGTATTTATATTCTAGCCAAGACAAAGTAGGGATGAATAAAATAAACTAGTCACCAATAAGTGATTAAACTTCTTGAAACCGTCTAGCTGATAGATTCCATAGATTATGCTACTGAGTGAAAATGAAGGAAAGTATAAGTTTTGATAAAAATACAACCAAGTAATTCTGATAGCTAAGTACTTCGCACGTCAATCCTGAATATATATCTGGTACGAAATAGGGAAACTGAATGTAGGAAAAAGTATACATTGTATTAAATACGCAAATACCAAACACTCAGATAGATAGCATAAAACTCCATAAATAAAACAAAGATTATTTATTCATAATTTGAAATACTTACCTGAATTTGATATATTCTTCTGTGCTTTGACTGTAGGGAACATGTTAGAAAGACCAACACATTTCGCACGATCCAATGATAAGTATGTCTTAGCAGTACTAGGGCGCTTTTCTGACCCAATCAGGCTTCCAAAAGCTCGCGATAAAGATGCCGTTCTTAAGCTTGAGTTAGACAAACCAACATCATGATAACGACTGGGCCAAGTGCTGCATGAATCTGAATCTTGAATAGCAACATTATGAGAGGGGTTACGCGAAATGGTTGAACATATATAATGCTCGCCTAAAAAGGAAAAGCAAGGATGCAAATCACAATTAATAGAAGCATAAATTTTGTTCAACAAAGTCTTATTCACCTTTTTAAATCAACAACAATAGAGAAACAAGTATTGATAATCAAGCCTGAAAAACAATGGTTTCAAGTATCCTAAAAGACATATTGATAAATCTGTCTGAACATACGTCCAACGCATTTGTAAATTAGAGTTAAATAGATGAATATGGATAGTAACCACGAGAAAGTATTCAACCCTGATATCTCTATAGAATCCGATGAAACATATCCCCTTATCGCAGATTTTCTAAGCACGTTTTAGCCTATCTGTAACCCAAAGTGGATTCATCACTGAACACTGAACGCTCACGAGCCCAGAATCGGTTACATGTCAGCTAGCTACAAAATCCATTTAGTCTCCAGTCACTGTAACTTTCTACATTAGTAGGTAGTTAGAGTTTCACTAATTGATGGATCCAGATAAAATTTTGAGCAAATGAGAGACCCCATTGACAGGAATAACATATGACATCCAGCCTTATGTCCTTTACAAAATCAGAAGGAGGTTGAAGACTAATGAGAGTACTAGGACTTTGACAAACACTGGTCTATCAAATAATCAACCAACAGAACTAGGGAAGTTACAAACGGCCAGCGCAGTATTCAGCGATACCAGAATGGGGGAAAACAAATTAGTCTGTGGAAACCTACAAAAAGCGGAGCCATCGTATGAATCAAAAAACTGGATCTTGAAAAAGTCCTTCGTATCATCCGTTATCGAAACTCTGGAAACTGAAATATCACTGAAAAAAAAAGTTAAGTGACACTGATAGAATTACGTTTCAACGAATTCACCAGGCTTTAAAACGCCCTTGCATATTGATAGCAAATACTTGGAACGTGCTGTAGATAAAACTGGGTATTTAGTGATACGATCTTAAAAGACGCCTGAATTTACCTTTGAAGCGCAGTATTCTTGCTGATTTATTAACAATGAGTACTTGACATGTGTTGCAAGTGCCTTCAGTTGAATAATAAAATAATATGTTTGATGGCTTAACGAGGACTTCCTTGCTTGAATCCAGCGACATAACGAGTTTCACAAGACAAAAAGCTGGACTAAAGTCCGTCACATCCTCACTTGAATATTTGCCGTGACGTTAGGATTTGTATTGTATACATGACTGTTCAAATTCCAGTCTTTAAGTATGAGGCAGGATGACTGATTGATCTGGGTTATTTCTAATGAAAACCGAAATCTTCTTTGTAAGCGTTCATCTTAAGAGTGGTCTAATTTGTTTAGCTGATGACTTGATTTCAGTGCACATTCAGCTAGGGAGGAAAAACAACAGACGCTTTATATTGAGATATTGTACCTGATATTAGTTGAACAGAGATGGCCACCGTAGGACTCTCTGTGATGATGGGAATGGAGTATGCATGTATACGAACCCACACATTTTGGTCCAAAGCAAGGACCTTCTTTGTTAACTTTAGAAATCACTCATACAGTCGAAGATATTGCCTATCTAAATATTCTCCCACCATTAGGAAATGGGGATTGCGCTGTTTGGTCATTCATGTTTAGAGCTTTTAAAGCAATACACGATTAGGTAAAACTGCTCCCAAATGTGTTTAGTGTAAAAATACTGGGCATGATGGAATGCTTTGTAACTACGGGCTGATCAGTAAATACTAGTTCATTAATTGAAGAAGCATGGTCCATACTTATAGGTAAGCTAAGCTTACTTACTCCTCCGTTTATAACCAGCTCATTACCACGTAGATCAAACAACTGTCCACCATGGATAACTAAACAGGTCAAGAAATATCTTCAGTGTAGAAAAAGGCATTGGAGTAAGTTTATCACTGCGGGCACTCAACAATACAAATCCAATCCACGAAGTTTCGTCACCGTCCACCATTATCATCGATAAGTTACTATCTCACAACAGATCCGGTTGAACTCCACTGGTCACGACTTCTCACTAGGACTCCAGGAAATACATTTTGGAGACCGTCACCATTGAGCATATGATGATTATAATCAGAGAGGGATTTTATGGATATTGTAGTAATTTTGATAAGTGGATTCATAAGCCAGCTGAAGCTAGACCACCATGGATGCCGGCTCAGTGGTCTAGAGGTCATGGATACGCACTACTAGGATGAAACGACCATCCAGTGCTTCCAGGTTCTCCATGCTGGTCTAGCTTCACTTGACTCATGAATTCAATTATTAGACTTACCATAGTATCCAAAATCCCCTCTCTGTTTATATTACAAATTCACTTACCGTAGAACTAGGAACACTTGCAAAGTGTTGGTAAGTAAGGCAAGATATTAATATGAAAATCGATTGTTATATATATATATATAAATATATATATATATATAGAGAGAGAGAGAGAGACAGAGAGAGAGGCGAACTCAGAGATCTTGCAAGGGCTGAGGCTTTTTCAAAATATTTAAGTAATCTTTTCTTCCGACTAACGTGAAACACTAACAATTAATTATAATGGCGGCTTGCAAGTAGATCCTGTGGTTATCGATAACAGAGATGTCTTACTATTACTTCGACATTTTATGCCAGATAAATCTAGTGATTCCATCGATATCTATCCTAGGATTATGAGAGCCCTGTCGGATATAATTGCTGAACCTCTGGTAATACTGTTTGATATGTATTTTCAGAAGTCTGAGCCGCCAAGAGATTGAAAAGATTCAGTAATCAGTCCGGTAGGGTAGAGACTTAGTAAATACCGACGCGTTAGTCTAACCAGTCTAGTTGTCATAACAGTAAAAAGATTGTTCAAATGGTTTTTTTAAATTATATGAAAGGGAGTGGTCTTCTATCCAGGAACGACATAGTTTTAGGCAAGGCTTCTCATAATTTACAAATCTACAGCGAAAGATATAGATATTTCAACAGAGGAGTTTCGTAGATCTAAGTAAAGCCCTTGACATCGAAGACTGACTCTCGTGTTCTGTGACAAAATATAAAGTAAATTTTAGTACTTCAGTTCTCAGTCTTCTGGCATCAAGATTAAAGTCAGGAAACCGATGTTAATACTTCTGATCCACATTACTTCCAAAATTGAGAATCTCCATCGCCGCAAAAAAAGTAATTGCATTTTCCAACAGCAATTTATGGTAACCCTCCGACTGATGAGAGAAAAAAACCTCTAAAGTAAAACTTTTCGATTTCATTTATCAAACCTTCTGGGGCTTTTCTCATTAATGGCTTCTTCTAGAAGAAAAAACACTGATAAATGTTAGTTTCGAAATCATTGTTTGGTACATAGTAAGCCAGTATTATGTCATTTTGATATCTGAGAAAAACAGTGAGAATATAATAAGGCCTCTCAGTCTATCTTCTATCAGCAAGCCAGAAAAATATTTTACCTATTTCATCACTCACTATCAATCTCTTTCAAACACATCCCTTTCATAAGTCGGATAATGACATACTGTTTCTTATTTATATATTTTAAATACAGCATAACGAAAGTACATCATAGTATAGTATACGAATTACTTCAACTAAAGGATGTGATGTCGTACAAATAGCCCATAAATTTCAAAAGGCTTTAAAAGCATCCAACCTACATCAACTTATAGTCCTAATATCACCATTAATTACGGCTCCTAAAACATTAAAAACATTTACCTTGAGTGATACTGTTCTATTTATTATGTGCTTATGTAACTTGTCGTAATGATTGATTCGCATCACTGTGCTTTTTCCAGAATTCACTTTCGATAACCCCCATTTGTTCACTCCGTCAGTGAATTCAATTCTCTCTGTAATTCTATTATTTCAGCCTCACTTATTTCGAAGTTTCGTAGTCATCACTAAGGAATATAACAAGTGACTTCGTTACTCTGAATAGATTATACGTTTATGATACATGAAAATAATTCTTGAATTATTCCACTGGAAACTCTACTACTGAAAAATTTCTACAGTGATGAAACATAATTTAATCTTCTACAATGCTTTTCACTGAGAAAGCTACAGATCTAATCTTCCAATCTTTCAAAATTTTCGGTTAAAATGTGAGATAGTCCGGTAGCATAGGAGATGGATTTGTATCACTTCCGTTCATTTTACCTTTATCATTCAATCCATGCCTTCGCGTCCGGACCAGATACAACTCGTTTATCTACAATGCTGACCAATTGTGTAAACTCTCACACCTACCGGAGTTTTGCCAACAAGTGTGATTTGGGTGGCTTCGAAATCCTAATTTTCCATTTCAAACATTGTGGTCTATTTCTGCAAAGGCCGACGTTACACCGAGTGTGTTCGTTTGAATTTATTACTATTCATGCATGTAATGAGTAAGCACTCCGTAAATATTTAATCGTTCAATCGCTTTTGAAGTACTTGTAACGGAAGGATTGCTTTGCAAATCTCGCCCGTGTTTTATTGGATAAGACTGTTATTCCGTTATTTTTTCGTCTTTTGCTTTTACTCAGGAATCTCGACCAAGCCTAACTCAGTTCATATCCACAAACAGTTGCGGGCTATGTATGTATACCAAAGTATCTTAGCATCTTCACCCATGCCTGGACAAGATGTGACAAAGTTAAAGAAATAAGTAATTCACTTTGTCCTCTAATTAAAGACTTATCCAAAGTAGTTGCAGGAAGGCTCATGTATTTCGTCGGATGAAAACACGGGAGCATAGACACCATACGTATGGATAAGTTAGAACCGGCCTGTGTAGATAATTAACCAACATATGTGGTATTAGACTATCCATGAGAAAAAACTATTACATGATCGACGATCAGCAGCGAGAATCCTCCACATATTAACTTAAAATTCAGGTGGACACAATCAATAATTCAACCCGACATATACAGAGTTTAAGATTGATCCGAAATCCTCAACAAATATTTGCTGCAACTTAGGTCCATCAAATTTTTTGCTACGTGCATTTAAGAAAAGAGCCAATAATTTTAGATCTTTTGCGCATCATATAGCCTATTAGCGAAAAAGACAGATTAATATAGAATTATCAATAACCTTAATCTGTATTTCAACAATACCTACGCATATCTTTTTTCATGCGTGGTATATTAGTGTTCATTACTAAGTATATTGCACATGAGATTTGCTCCCTGAGTATTTCGACAGAAACCATAGAATTAAAACATAATACAACAGATGGGGTTTCACAAACAAATGAGAAATCTTCAGCTGAGGTGAGTGGTGTTCAAAGTAATTCACGAAGTTAACTACTTCTTGTTATAACGTGTGGTCCGCCTATCAGAGAGCAGCCTATTATCGATCGAAACAGTGACGCATAAAACACGAGCGAGCAGCCTAGAGCTCTGATTGGTCCTGCTTCCCTGTCTAGCCCAGCCAATTGAGTCCAGAACACAAGTCTCAGCCTCGGAGATATGAATCATTATATTTCAAACATACTCTGTTTATATAGCAATCAAACAGACTACATCGTACCATAAATAGAAAGTAACATTTGTACAAAATTTAACCTTCAGGAAATGACACAAATAAATATTGACCAATAAGATGACACGTTGGAAGAATGTTGACCAATGGGGAAATGACACTACTTCTCATTCAGGAATGGCATTAGATAATTTCTGGGGTATTTTCTGAATACCTCAACACCTCCCCTTCTTTGAAGATCCGGACCTGATATCCGGAATATAAGTTCCTCGGGTCCATCCTCCCCCACGAAACAATGTTGGGTCCTCATATGCCCAAAATACAATTGATCTGACTTTAATTAAAATATATTTGTCGCAGCGCACAAGAAATCGACTGAGCATGACTAAGTGGTGAGGGTTAACGACGCTTGACATGAGGTCATCGAGTTTTGATTCTTCGGAAAGATTATCATCAAATTTATCAAGAATATCACTAGTAGATAGTGGATCGCTATGATAATCAGCGTCCATCAAAACTGAATCAGGTTCTTGATCATTATTTGACACATATGACATATTTTCTGGCAAATCAAGGGAATCGCGATTAGATTCGTCAGGAACTTCTATCGCGGAATGATGAGCTTCATTTGGTGCAGCTGCATTCAGTGTACTGCACGATTTGTTTTCTGTTTTATGAGCGGTTACTGCGACACTTACATGAACATTTAGCAGGGCGTCCTTTTGTGAGCTGGATACATCATTGTCTGTACATGATGTTTCAAGGATAATGGAGTTTGGATCCATTACTGGGCATGTTTTTGGAGTGGACATTTCTGGATCACTGGGCGGATCATGAATGACTGTTTCACTTACATTACT